CACGCGTGCCACAGGTGGCATGCGTAGCCATATCGGTGGGCACGCGAGCTCAGCTCTGGTGCGCATGTGCGGGCCAGCCAGCTGATTTTCGGGCCTTCTGGGCCCATCAGAAGTAGGGAAACAGGCTGTTTCCTGCCTCCAGAGGGCCTCGGGGGGGGGGGGGGGGGGGGGGTGGGGAAGGCCCGTTTTTCTCTCTCCCCAGACTCCAGAGCCTTTCTAGGAGTCTGGGGAGAGCAAAAACGGGCCTTCCGGTCCTACTAGAAGTTGGCAAACGGGCCGTTTTCGGCCTCCGGAGGGCCTTTTTGAAGGCTGTTTTCGCCCTCCCCGGGTTCCTAGAAAGGCTCTGGAGCCTAGGGAGAGCAAAAAACGGGCCTTCCAGTCGCACTAGAAGTTGGCAAACGGGCTATTTTCGGCCTCCGGAGGGCCTTTTTGAAAGCTGTTTTTGCCCTCCCCAGGTTCCTAGAAAGGCTCTGGAGCCTGGGGAGAGCAAAAAACGGGACTTCCGGTCCCACCGAGCCATCGCATGCGGGGGGCAGGGCGCATAGAATTATGGGTGTGGGCATGCACACCACCACCCTCCGTGCTCCTCCAACTCCTGGCACGCAATGGCAAAAAGGTTAGCCATCACTGGTATAGGGTTTCCTGCCTAAGCAGGGGGTTGGACTAGAAGACCTCCAAGGTCCCTTCGAACTCTGTTTATTCTGTTCTGTTCTATTCTGCTTGATGGCCATTGAACTGACTTTTTAATCAACAAATGGAAAGACTAGATAATACGGTATGATGATCAACGTAGCTGAAATTAAAATTGTCCTTTAAAATTTAAGCTGATTTATTTCTATAATATTCCAGTTGCTGTATGTCACTTAGTCATGATTTCCTCCGTTTTTTTTCTTATACATTTCCAGATTGTTTTTCTGGCAAATGGATAAATATTTTCCTATCCTTTAAGATAACGAAACGGCAACATCTTATAAAATGGACTTCATTAATAGATAGTAGAATTAAATGTAAGCCTACTTCCGCTAAAACAAAAATCCGCACAGGTTCCCCATTTGCTTTTCAGCGATACAGGTGGTCCTCCACTTACAACAATTCACTTAGTGACTGTTCCAAGTTACCCTGAAAAAAGTGACTTATGACCATTTTTCACACTTACGACCGTTGCAGCATCCCCCAGGGTCCTGTGATCAAAATTCAGACACTTGGCCACTTACTCACAGTTATGACAGTTGCAGTATCCCAGGATCATGTGATTCTCTTTTGTGACCTTCTGACGAGCAACGGGGAAGCCAGATTCATTTAACAACCGTATTATTAATGTAGCAACTGCAGTGATTCACTTAACATCTGCGGCAAGAGACTTAACAACTGTTGTGGCCTCTTAGCCGCCGGCCCCTCCAGCAGCCGAATCAGAGGAGGAGGAGGAGGAGTGAGAGTCAGGATCAGCATCAAGGCAACCTGAGAGCTGCGAGGGGGAAGAGGGAATGGAGTCGGCAGAGATAGAGAGAGAGAGGTGGAGCCTGGGCCGTCCGTCAGCCATCAGATGGAGAGTCAACAGCCTCCAGGTCTGGAGGTGGCTGATGAGGAAGAGGAGGAACAGCTGGGTCCAGTGCCTGATGAATGGATGCACAGAAGGCAGAGGAGAGGAGAGCAGAGGAAATCTATGGGCTGGTCCTCGGGACGGAAGAGCCACCGCTGCTAGCTCTGGGGATCAAAGGCAGGGGGCGGAGATGAATAGATGTGACAGACAACTATTCATCTCCCTGACGGACAGATTTGTTAGCCTGCTGTGAGAGAGAAACTTTTTGTCGGGGCTGCCGGCGCTCCTAATAAAGGAATCGTTGATTACAGAGGGTTTGTCGTGTTTGGGGAGCTGGGTCAGAACGACGACTTTCTCGCTTAGCAACAGAAATTTTGGGCTCAATTGCGGTCGTAAGTCGAGGACTACCTATACTGTACACTAGGGGTGTCCAACCTTGGCCACTTTTAAGACCGAACTCACTCGCTCCTAAGGACCTCACAACAGACTTTTGAAAATCCCTTCCATCTTTTTTTTTATTTATTTTTTTATCTGATGCAAACACTGCTATTAGACCATTTCTGGAATCTTCCAAGAACCAGAAAGAACTTTTTTTACTGTGATTTTGCTTTCAACTCCATCAACATATACAGGTAATTCTCAACTTACGACTACAATGAAGGCCAAAATCTCTACTGCTAAACCGGACGGTCGTAAAGTGAGTTTTGCCTCATTTCACAACCTTTCTCGCCAGAGTTGTTACGCGAATCACTGCAGTTGTTAAGTTGGTCACATGGTTTCTAAGTAAATCTGGCTTCCCTATATGGATTTGCTTGTCGGAAGGCTGCAACCGTCATAAATATGAACCAGTTGCCAAGCATCCGAATTTGGATCAATTTTGGGACCATAGGGATGGGGCAACGGTCGTAAGTGTGAAACACGGGGAAAAGTCACTTTTTTCCCCCAGCGTGTTCGTAACTCCAAACGGTCAGCAAACGAATGATTGTAAGTCAAGGACTATCTCTAAAATTCCAAATTCAGTATTAGAGGCGATGACACTTAAACCCGAGGAAGGGAAAGGCTCGCTATAATTTCTCTATTATTATTTTTTTTCCATTCGTGTTGCGTGTTTGCCTTTCAATCAGAACTGAGCTACGCTGGAGTTGAGAAGTCGAAATATTTTTAGCACGAAAAATGTTGCACACAACTTAAACAAGGTCAGAGATCAACCTTCCCTGATTTGAGGCAACCCTCTCGGCCGCGAGGTTTAAGAATTCTAGGAACTGTTATGCCCAGCACATCTGGAAAGCATTAAAACGAGGAAAGCCACTTAAGAAACATAAGCCTCGGTCGTAAAAAAAAATACAATATAAAAAATAATCCCCTTTTACTTAACCTCAGCTCTTGGTGGCTTCATGAACATATTTTGCAGGATTTTCCTGTAAAACACAGGAATATTTTACTAACTCGTTCTTTTCTCCCAGTCTATTTTATAGCCTGAGGATCTCCTTGTGGTCTCTCATCCAAGAGCTTATCAAGGGTTGTTTTTCAAGATCATAAAGCCTAACAGGCAGGGGTGAAATGTAAAATGTGTTACTACCGGTTCTGTGGGCGTGGCTTGGTGGTGGGGGTAATGTGACTGGGTGGGCGTGGCCAACTTTTTTTTTTTTTAAGTTTTCAAAGCATTTTTTCTAATGCTTTGAAAAGCCTCTGGCGATCAGGCAACTCAGCTGGGATCATCAGAGACTTTTCAAAGCATTTTTTTTACCACCTCTTCGGCCAAGTGGTTGCAAAAAAAAATGCTTTGAAAAGCTTCTGACGATACCAGCTGAGCCTCGTCAGAGGCTTTTTTTTTTTTTTTACTTTTAAAAGCATTTTTTCTACAACCGCTTCCGACGAAAAAATGCTTTTAAAAGAAAAAAAAAAAAAGCGGCTGAAGATCGTGCGACTCAGCTGAGCATTGGTGGAGGGCAGGGATTTTTGCTACGAACCACCCGCCGCCATCGCTACCGGATCGGGCGATCCGGTCTCAACCGGGAGCATTTCACCCCTGCTAACAGGATGCTGCCACCTAGCCAGACTAAAAGAAAAGTTATCTTCTAGACAAGCTCCAGGCTTGATGAGTTCATAGGCATTCCCAAGTAAGTTTCTTGGCTACAGCGAGGGTTATTAATCCATATCAATCAGAATAGAGATGGAAGGGACCCTAGAGATCTTCTAGTCTAACCCCATGCTGAAGCAGGAGGCCCTAGAGACTATTAGGGTCTCTATACAATTAGGGTCAATACAATTGTGTGTACAATTAATATGCAATTGGTCTGTACAATTAGTCTGTATAAGCAACAATGGTTGGAAACTCATCAAAGAGAGAGAAGCAACCTGGAATTAAGGAGGAACTTCCTAGCAGTGAGGACAATTAACCAGTGGAACAGCTGGCCACCAGAAGTCGTGAGTGCTTCATTGCTGGAGGTTTTTAAGAAGAGACTGGACAGTCACTTGTCTGGTTTAGATTCTCCTGCTTGAGCAGAGGGCTGGACTAGAAGACCTCCAAGGTCCCTTCCAGCTTTCTATTCTATTCTATTCTATTCTATTCTATTCTATTCTATTCTATTCTATTCTACTCTACTCTACTCTACTCTACTCTACTCTACTCTACTCTACTCTACTCTACTCTACTCTACTCTACTCTTTCCTATTCTATTACTATTCCCTATTCCTTATTCCTTATTCCTATTCCTTATTCCTTATTTTTTTTCCTTATTCCTTATTCCTTATTCCTTATTCCTTATTCCCTATTCCCTATTCCTATTCCTATTCCCTATTTCTATTCTACTCTACTCTACTCTACTCTACTCTACTCTACTCTACTCTACTCTATTCCTATTCCTATTCCTATTCCTATTCCTATTCCTATTCCCTATTCTATTCTATTCTATTCTATTCTATTCTATTCTATTCTATTCTATTCTATTCTACTCTACATTACTCTACTCTACTCTACTCTACTCTACTCTATTCCTATTCCTATTCTTTTTCCTATTCCTATTCCTATTCCTATTCCTATTCCCTATTCTATTCTATTCTATTCTATTCTATTCTATTCTATTCTACTCTACTCTACTCTACTCTACTCTACTCTACTCTACTCTACTCTACTCTATTCCTATTCCTATTCCTATTCCTATTCCTATTCCTATTCCTATTCCTATTCCTATTCCCTATTCTATTCTATTCTATTCTATTCTATTCTATTCTACTCTATACTCTACTCTACTCTACTCTACTCTACTCTACTCTACTCTACTCTAATTAGAGTAGGATGCCATTTCCCACCCCAGAAAGTTTCCCCACCCAACTTTCAAGTCAAGCTTCCTATTCAAAGTCCCAACCCTCCTCAGCTTCCGACCCCAGAGAGGGTCAGCTACCTCTGGGGACGTAACTCCAATCCCTCCTGGAACTGTGCCAAAATTTATACACTCACCTTTCACAAAATATTCTCGATTTGGACCAATCAGGGCATTGTACGGATACCCGTAATAGGCGAGCGTGTACGGATCGCAAGAGTAAACATAGTTAGGTTGTTGAGTCACTTCGGCTGCCGTTGCTCCTCCTCCTCCTCCTCCTTTGGCAGCTTTCTGGTATCGGGTATACTGCTCTTTATCCACCGGCTTGGCCAAGGTGACCTCCAGACATGATCCTTCCAGTTCGGTGCCATTGAGGTTATTCATGGCATGAACCGCGTCTTCCCGGCTGGTGAAGTGCACGAAAGCGTAATCTCGGATTTTCTTCACCCGTTCTATGCTGCCGGGGTTAAACTGACCAAAGACCTTTTTAATAGCCTCCTCCGTGGTCTCAATCATCAAATTCCTCACGTACAAGATTTTTACCGTCTCCATGACGTCTTCATCTACATCGATCTCCGGCTCGGCCCAATCGACAGCGATTTGGTGTCCCCACAGCTGGATTCGGCCAGGCATGAGCTTCCTTCTCGCCATGGCGGCCGCTCGGTGGCTTTCATACTCCACGAAAGCAAAGCCTCGGTTCTTCATCTTATCGGCCGCGCTGGCGTAGACGATGACGTCCAACACGCCTTCCGTCACCTTGGAGATCTCTTCCAAAATCTCCTCGCGCTTCTTCGTCTTGGGGATCCCGCCGATGAAGAGCCGGCAGTTGTCCACACTGCAACACACCCCTAACAGTCTTCCCGGACGGATCTCGTAGTTGTTGAGTTCTTTGACCGCACGCTTGGCTTCGTATTTCTGGGTGTACATCACGAAGGCGTAGCCACGGTTCTTACCGTCAAAGTCCATCATCAGCCGCATTTCGTAGATCCGTCCCGCGGTCTCAAACACGGGGACCAGCTCGTCCTCGTAGACGTCCCGAGGAATTTTGCCCACAAAGACCTCGCAGCCCCGAGGAGGGTGTAAGCCTTCCCAGCCAGGAGGTGGACCTCCATACTTCCGTTGCCCGTTCTCCTGAATCATGGTGTACCCGGTGCGGTCTAATAACTGCAATAGTGCGGCCTCGTTTGGCACGCCCGAGAGCCCTTCGGGTATTTTATTTGTCTGCATGCTGGAGGAATCATTATCCATCCTTGCTGTAGAGTCTTCAGCTGTCATTATGGCCTAATCATTCAAAGTCTGGAGATACCTGGATAAAGAAAACAGTAGGAATGCCATCAAATTAGATGCTACCGTTCAAAGAAATCTCACCGGTCATGTTTCAAAGAAACAAAACATGTTTATTAAAAAACTGACCTGCAACAAATTTAAGATTCCCCTACAGGTACTCCTAGACCAGGGTTGTCAAACTCAAACCCAGTACGCTGGATCTGGCCCACGGGGTGTTTAGATCTAGCCCGTAAGGCTGCCCTGCTGAAGGACCGGCCCCTGGTGCCCCTACTTAGCAAGCGACTCATATTTATGATGGTTGCAGCGTCCCAGAGGATCTCCTTATGCGACCTTGTGACAAGCAAGGTCAACGGGGAAAACCAGATTCACTTAAAAACCAGGTTACAAACGTATCAAGTGCAGTGATTCGTTTAACAACTCTGGAAAGAATATATTTTATTTTTTTCTTTATGTGCACTGAGAGCGTATGCACCAAAGACAAATTCCTTGAGTGTCCAATCACACTTGGCCAAGAAAGAATTCTATTCTATTCTATTCTATTCTATTCTATTCTATTCTATTCTATTCTATTCTATTCTATTCCATTCCATTCCATTCCATTCCATTCCATTCCATTCCATTCCAGTCCACTTATTTCTGTTCTGTTCTGTTCTGTTCTGTTCTGTTCTGTTCTATTCTAAAGAAAGTTCGTAAAAAACGGAGCAAACTCATTGAGCAAATGTTTCACTTAACAGAAATTTGGGGCTCCATTGTGGCCATAAGTCAAAGATTACCTAATACCTTCCATCCTGCCCTCCTGTGCTTTGGAGAATAAGTTGACCATCTCCCCCACTTCTCTGTGACAGCCCCTCAAGTACTGGAAGACAGTTATATCTCCCTCCTAATCCTTCTCTTCCTCAGGCTAGACATGTCTCGTTCCCTCACCCATTCATCGTATGTTTTATCCCTCATGCCCTTTATCAATCTTCGTAGCTCTTCTCTGAAAACGTTGCGTCTTTGGATATCAATCAAACAAAAACAGCAGCTTCATCCATATGTCCCAAAGGTACTTTTTTTTTCCAAGAGGCAAGTGGACTTTCTGGTTTTTCTTTGAAGATGTTTCACTTCTCATCCAAGAAGCTTCTCCAGTTCTTCAGAAGAGAAACGTCTTCAAAGAAAAACCAGAAAGTCCACTTGCCTCTTGAAAAAGCCACTTTGGGGCAACCATGACCTGGATGATGGAGAATCTCCATAGACATTTAAGACTTCAACTCCCAGAATTCCCCCAACCAACCTCAGGAACTTCCCCACCATCCGGTCAGAGCTGAAGAAGCTTCTTGAATGAGAAGCAAAATGTCTTCAAAGAAAAAACAAGACTTGGACTTGGAACAAGACTGTGACTTGGATGGCTGAGAACATCCATAGAAACTCCATCAGTACCCTATTTTCCCCAAAATAAGACCTCCCCTGATAATAAGCCCAATCGGGCTTTTGAGCGCATGGCAATAAGGCCGAGTGCTTATTTCAGAGTTCAAAAAAATATAAGACAGGGTCTTATTTTTGGGGAAACACGGTAGATACAGATGATAGATAAATAGTAAGATGGATGGATGGATGGATGGATGGATGGATAGATAGATCGATAGATAGATAGATAGATAGATAGATAGATAGATAGATAGATACAGTTAGAAATAGGAGAGAGAGAGAGAGAGAGAGAGAGAGAGAGATACCCTGTTCCCCCCAAAATAAGACCTCCCCTGATAATAAGCCCAATCAGGCTTTTGAGAGCATGGCCATAAGGCCAAGCGCTTATTTCAGGGCTCAAAAAAATATAAGACAGGGTCTTATTTTCGGGGAAACACGGTAGATACAGATGATAGATAAATAGTAAGACGGATAGATAGATAGATAGATAGGTAGATAGATAGATAGATATAGAGATATAGAGATAAATAGAGATTAGAGAGAGAGAAAGAAAGAAAGAAAGAAAGAAAGATAGATAGATAGATAGATAGATAGATAGAGAGAGAGAGAGATAGAGAGATAGAGAGATAGAGAGATTAGAGAGAGAGGGAAAGATAGATAGATAGAGATAAATAGATAGATTAGAGAGAGAGAGAGAAAGACAGACAGACAGACAGACAGATAGATAGATAGATATAGAGATGTAGAGATAAATAGAGAGATTAGAGAGAGAGAGAGAGAAAGACAGACAGACAGACAGACAGACAGACAGACAGACAGACAGTTAGATAGATAGATAGATAGATAGATAGATAGATAGATAGATAGATAGATAGATGATATAGACATAGACAGATACCCTATTTCCCCCAAAATAAGACATCCCCTGATAATGAGCCCAATCGGGCTTTTGAGTGCATGGCAATAAGGCCAAGCGCTTATTTCAGGGTTCAAAAAAAAATGTAAGACCGGGTCTTATTTTCGGGGAAACACAGTACTTCTTATGGATAAAAAAAAAGCCGGGTTTCTTTGCAAAGAAAAATCAGCGAGGCCTAAAATGTCAGCGTTTTGCTACGTTCAACTTCCTCCTCTCGGTCTTGAACTCTCGCGGGCGTGCAGTCATCCCGTCCTATACACACACACACACTCTCTCTCACACACACACGGGTTCTTTTTCACCTTGTGTGCTCAAAAGTCAAGTATCCTTGAGTTATTCATTAATTAGCATGCGGAGATCAGGCTTCAAGCTGCCTGAGATTGCCTCTGTGCAGAGAAAGGGGAGAAAGGGCCACTGGAGTGAAACTTATAATTATGGCTGGGAAAATTGTTACCACATCATCAAAACTGAGTTGAAGATTGTGTGGCAATCCGGTTCCCTGATCTCTGGAACGGCGAAGACTGTACAAACCTTTGAACCCTCTGGCTGAAATGCTGAAATAAGCGTTATCGGCGCTGGGGACCGAGTGTCCCTTGAAATTAGCTTGCCCTGCTCTTCACACAGGTAGGCCCTTGACCGAGGGTGGCATTCACTGACCTTCGCTACCCGTTCGCAAATGTGAGTGCGCATGCGCAGGACCTTCCGCACATGTGCAGAGCGTCAAAAATGGGACGTGATGACGTCCGGGTGGGTGGGCGGAGCCTCCTGCCACCGCTGCTACCAGTTTGCCCGAACCGGATAGAACCGGTTGAATACTACTACTGCCCTCAACAAAAACAGCGCCCCGACTAGACCGTTCGAAGTTACGACGCTGGAAACAAAGGACTTAAGACCGGTTTTCATGCTTACGACCATCGAAGCAGCTCCGAAAATTTGGACGCTGAGCAACTGGTTTCTATTTATGACCATTGCTGTAATCCTGGGGTCACGCGATCCCCTTTTGCGTCCTTCTGACAGGCAAAGTCAATGGGGAAGATGGATTCGCTTAACAACCGTGTTACTAATTTAAGGAACTGCAGTGATTTAAAATTCATTTAACTGTCTCTCTTAGCAGTAGAAATTTTGGGCTCAGTTTTTGCCACATATGTTGAGATCTCTCTCCCTCCCTCCCTGCCCCTTCTCTCTCCTTCTCTTCCTCTTTCTCCCTCCCTCCCTCTCCCCCTCTCCCTGTCTCTCCCTCTCTCTCTCCATTCCGTCTCCCTCTCTTCCACCCTCTCTCTCTCCCTCTCTCCTTGTCTCTCCCTCTCCCTCTCCCCCTCTCCATTCCCTGTCTCCCTCTCTTCCACCCTCTCTCTCTCCCTCTCTCCCTGTCTCTCCCTCCCCCTCTCCCTCTCTCCCTCTCCCTCCCCCCTCTCTCTCCATTCCCTGTCTCCCTCTCTTCCACCCTCTCTCCCTCCCTCTCTCTCATATGGTAAAATGTTTAACCAGGCAAAAGATCCTTTCAAGAATACGCATATATTTAATGGGGTTCAGCAGATATGAGGATAAATCACCTCTAATTTTAAAGTTGGATTTGAGTGAAAAGCAAAACACGTTAAAAAAAAAAAAAGTTAGGGCTTCATCCTTTTTCTGAATGGAGAGAAGTGAAATGAAATCAAGCAGAGATCTGGAAATCTAAATCCTTGAAAAATCATTGTTTTTGTAGCATAAGGAAAACATCCTTAAAATATCCGGGCAGATTGTAGGCCACCTGTTAATCTTTTAAGAAGAACAGCGTGTGAATTAATGAAACCTCGAGCCGTTTCAGAGAACCTGAGTCCTTCTTTTCCCTTGCCAGCGGAACTCAAATCACAACTTTTCATATAATCTTTCCGGAAAACTGAAATGCTCTATTAAAATATGAAACTGCTCCGAAGACTTATTTCAAACAATAAGCCGAAACTCTTCTCTGTTTTGGAATCTTAAGGGCTTCCTTAAGAACTGAACATTTTGGTCGGCTTTCTTTTATATTCGTATGCGGAAGGTGTTTTAAAAACGAAACCTTTAGAAAAATAATGGAACAAACTGTGGGTCCTTAAATCAACACCAGGGCAAGTTTTTCTTGACGCGAAACTGAGATAATTCTTCTTCTTCTTTTTTTTTTTTTGGCTACAGTGAAAGTTCCTTTTCCAACTTTGAAAGTTCCTTTAAAAGTAAAGCCCAGCGCACCCAGTCAAGTGCCTCAAGAAAAAAACCCCACAATCTTATTTTTTACCCAACCCAACAACTCCTGTTTTCACATCGTTCAACAGCAAAGGAACAAGCTTAGCCCCCCTTCAATCCCGAAAACCCCAAATGTAATAATGCTTTGACTGTTTTCCAATCTCAGGACCAACTCCATCAGATCGGCCTGAAAAAACAAACTACTCCATAAATTGAACAGGTTCCCCATAAAAGAGAAGAACAGAAGGCGAATTTGTCCTCTTTTTGGTTTCAAAGAATGGCAACTTGACTTTAAGTGCGTTCAGTCTGGGGGGAAAAAAAATTCCATTATTCCCATTTTTGAAGGCTTCTGAACCCGGCACACTCGCGTTGAAGTGGCTTGAGATTTCTCCCCCTTTTGTGACTTCACCCTACCCTCAAATTCTTTCCTTCTTCTTCTCCTAATCCCAAAGAGGAACATATTTTGAACAATCACCCATGCATTTATAACCTTAGCGGTTCATGTAACATGAAGCAGACACTTACGTTGCAAAGAAATTTTCCACTCACCTGGCCAGTACCCGCAACAGGTGAGTTCTACTTCTACCTTTGCCAGAATAACCTTTTTCCTCAAGTCACGAGGTTTGGGTAACGTTATTATACAGGGACGCATATCACTTTATTGGTCAATGAGCTTCGGTGATTTAAATTCCACGGCTGAAGTTTGCTCGGGGCGCCCAAAGAGGTAGGAGGAGGAGGAGGAGGTGGAACGGAAAGGACCAACTCCCACCCACCCACCCACTCACTCACCCCTCCGAGAAAGTTTAGCGCAGCACTTTGCAAAAGTAATTGAGAAATCCATCTGGTTGTTTGTTTTTTTTTAAATAACTGTGGCTGTTTGAAGCCAAAGGGAAAAAAAAAAGGCAGAGGCACTGCCATTATTTTTTTTTTCACCTTAAGGAATTAGAAAAAGATACATCCAATTTGGTAAAAAAAGGGGAAGGGGAAAGGAAAAAAGAAGAAGAAAAAAAAAAGAAGAGTGAATCATATACAAACAAGGCTTTTCTCGCACAACGGCTGAGCAAATAGTTGGTGTGACTCAAAACAGATAAGATGAAGGAAGAGGAGGAGGGAATTTTGCTTGGCAGCCGGATTTGCTTGCGGGGGGGAAAAAAAAATCCATTTTTATGCCAACTTTAAGGGACCGCTCGAGAGCGTTCTGCTCCACCAGCAGAACTTCAGCCTGAGAGAAAACTAAACAGGAACTAAAACCAGAAGCCCCCACTTCACAGGGTTACAAAACTCCTTGCACTGAGTAACCCAGAATTAGCTACTTCTCAGCAAAAAAGCAAAAGGAACGTAGGAGCCCCAACACATTTTATGAAGAATCTTCATAATCATCCGTTCCCGGAAACTGCAATTCGCTACATCGGAAACTTTGAATGAAAATACAGATAGCGTTCGACTTACAACCTATTGCCTAGTGACCGAAGTTATAACGGCATGGAAAAAAGTGACTTATCACCAATTTTTCACACTTGCGACCGTTGCAGCATTTCCAGGTACCGTTGTTCACACTTACGACCACTGCATAAGATCCTTACGTGATCAAAATTTGGAGGCTTGGCAATGGACTCATATTTATGACGGTTGCAATGTCCCGGTTGCGACCTTCTGACGAGCAAAGTCAAGGGGGAAGCCAGATTCACGTAACAACCGTGGGACTAACTTAATCGCAGTGATTCACTTAACAACGGTGGCAAGAAAGGTCGTAAAGCGGGGGAAAACTCACTTAACAACTGTCTCACTTAGCAACAGGGATTTTGGGCTGAACTGTGTTCATCAACCGAGTACAACCTGTGTGTTAGTTGGAAAATAACACTGCTAAATTTCTGCTTTAAAAAAAATAATAAATTTTGCCACCTCTCTGTGTGACTGTGATAATAATTCTCTTACAACGTCAGCAAACAAGGAATCCATCATGGAGAGAAATGCACAGCTAGTCCTCGACTTACGGCTGCCATCGAGCCCAAAATTTCTGCGGCTAAGCGAGACATTCGTTAAGTGGCTTTTGCCGCGTTTTACAACCGTTCTTTCCACCGCCGTTAAGCGAGCCACTGCAGTTGATAAGTGAGTAACCCGGTTGTTAAGTGAACCTGTCTTCCTCGTTGACTTCGCTTGTCAGAAGGGGATCACTGCAACCGTCATAAATATGAGTCAGCTGCCAAGCATCTGAATTTTGATTATGCAACCACAGGGTTGCTGCAACCGTCATAAGAGTGAAAAACGGTCGTAAGTTTCATTTTTCAGAGCCGTTGTAACCTTGAATGAACCACTGTAAGTTGAGGACTACCTGTATTGCTATTTTAGTAAAGAGAAATGCAATTTCTCACCCTACACAATGCTTCCGTCAAGTAAACCACCACAATTTTTAGAACTAACCTCACAAGTTACTTAAAACTTGTTGGTTTTATCTTTATCCTTCTTTATCTTTTATTAGATTTATATACCGTCCTTCTCCTTTCGGACTCAGGGCGGTGAACAGCCAAAATAAAAACATTTGTACACAAAAGTTAAAATAATTTTAAAAATAATTAAATGAAATTTGGCCCATAATTTAAAACATTTCAATTAAAAATCAGTATCAAACTTTAAAAACAACATGGAATCAGGCCTGCCCGGCTAACTGAAAAAAGTAAGTTTTTAGGGCCCGACGAAAAGTCTGGAGGTCTGGGATCACTCGTATCTCTGGGGGTAGATCATTCCAGAGGGTAGGTGCCACCACAGAGAAGGCTCTCCTCCTGGGGGTCGCCAGCCGGCATTGTCTGGCTGACGGCACCCTGAGGAGGCCCTCTCTGTGGGAGCGAACCGGCCAGTGGGAGGCAATTGGTGGCAGAAGGCGGTCCCGTAAGTTCCCCGGCCCTAAGCCATGGAGCTCTTTAAAGGTGGTCACCAACACCTTGAAGCGCACCCGGAAGTCCACCGGAAGCCAATGCAGCTCGCGCAGGAGAGGTGTCACGTGGGAGCGCCCCGTTGCTCCCATAATCCCCCGCGCGGCCGCATTTTGCACCAGTTGGAGCCTCCGGGTGCACCCCAAAGGGAGCCCCATGTAGAGAGCGTTACAATAGTCCAGACGAGAAGTGACGAGTGCTTGAGTGACCGTGCGTAGGGAGTCCCGATCTAGAAAGGGACGTAACTGGCGTATCAGGCGAACCTGATAGAAAGCCCCCCTGGCCACGGCCGTCATATGCGCTTCTAAAGACAGCCGTGCATCCAGGAGGACACCCAAGTTGCGGGCCCTTTCCGTGGGGGGCAGTGATTCGCCCCCAATAACCAGCGATGGCACCAGCTGGCTATACCGGGACGCCGACAGCCACAGCCACTTGGTCTTGGAAGGGTTGAGTCGAAGCCTGTTTCTCCCCATCCTGAAACCTACCCGTTCAGCAAGCTAAAAACACTTCAGCCAGCAAGTGGAAAGAAGGAGGGGGGAGAGAAAAAGCCAGTTCTGAAATATCACAAATTATCAACAGTTGTAGGTCCTCCTCCCACACACGAGGTTTAAATGAGTAGCACGACAATTCGGCCTCCCGTTTTAGAATGAGCAATGGACGCGGACACACACTCCTTCCCAGCAAGGAATTTGGGCCTTTGTTCCGATGTTTGAAAGGAAGGAGGGAATCAAGGCGGACATCTTAGGAAGTCAAAAGTTCAGCAGAGGGAGAACAAAACTTCAGTATTTCAGCGTGTCCATTGAAGGGAGTTCTTCGAAGGCTACAATATTATCTGAAAGAGCCCTCCACATTTCGTGTACCTTGCCGTTTACAAAACACCAGAGTCATGCACAAACAAACGAAGGCTAATATTTTCCCCCCTTTTTCTTTCTGGGAGACCTGCCAACTCGACACGATAATGTAACGAAAAAGTAATGTTGTCTTTGCAAATATGTGCTTACAGCATGTGAAGAAATTCAGGTTGGACACAAGACGGAAAGTAAGGGACATCATTCCTCAAGCTTACTCTATATCTGAAATTGTATTGGGTCTCTTGCTTAAGCAGGGGGTTGGACTAGAAGACCTCCATGGTCCCTTCCAACTCTATTCTGATTGATTGATATCCAGGCTCCAAGCTTTGGTAGATTTCATATTTCTCCTTCCCGTAATATTTGGGCCTCTCCTATTGTACCGAGTGAAATGTGCAAACCTATCATCATCCTTTGGCTGGGTTGATTTACGATCATCCACATTGTCAATCAAAAGAGCACATTTCCAACTTTCCCAGCATCCTTGATCAGAAAAACATCTTACAGTATAAAACGGGGAATGGGGCCAAAGCAAGAAAATGAATAAAATTTGACCAGAGGTCTCCATAGGAAAGAATATTTGTAGCTCAGTCTTGAACTCTAGGGACCTTGGCGGTCACTGAGCTTGAAGAAGAGGGGAATGAGATTTGCAGAGATTTGCAGAGAGGAGGAGGAGAAGGAGGAGAAGAAGAAGCAGGAGGAGGAGGAGGAGAAGGAGAAGGAGAACGAGGAGAAGGAGAAGAGGGAGAAGAAGAAGGAGGAGGAGGAGGAGAAGAAGAAGAAGAAGAAAAAGAAGGAGAAGGAGGAGGAGGAGAACGAGGAGAAGGAGAAGAGGGAGAAGAAGGAGGAGGAGGAGGAGGAGAAGAAGCAGGAGGAAGAGAAGAAGAAGGAGAAGGAAAAGAAGAAGGAGGAGGAGAAGGAGAAGGAGAAGGAGAAGGAGGAGAAGGAGAAGGAGAAGAGGGAGAAGAAGGAGGAGGAGGAGAAGAAGAAGCAGGAGGAGGAGGAGGAGAAGGAGAAGGAGAATGAGGAGAAGGAGAAGGAGAAGAGGGAGGAGAAGGAGGAGGAGGAGAAGAAGAAGCAGGAGGAGGAGAAGAAGAGGGAGAAGAAGAAGGAGGAGGAGGAGGAGAATAAGAATAAGGAGAAGGAGAAGGAGAAAAAAGAAGAAGAAGGAGAAGAAGAAGGAGAAGGAAAAGGAGAACGAGGAGAACGAGGAGGAGGAGGAGGAGGAGGAGGAGGAGGAGGAGGAGGAGGAGGAGGAGAAGAAGAAGAAGAAGAAGAAGAAGAAGAAGAAGAAGAAGAAGAAGACGACGGATGGAGTCCTTGGAGTGCTTTCTGATCTTGGTGATTTTCTTGCAGACCCTGCCTTAACAAACTAGGTAAACATTATCAATGCAATGAGTGAGCAAACCTCACTCCCTTCTAGCATGGATGACGTTAGGTAACTAGCCATTTGTCTGAAATAGTATACGGTCTCCCTGCTCGAGCAAGGGGATGGACTAGAAGATCTCCAAGATCCCTTCCAACCCTGTTATTCTGACATATTCCATGATGATTTGAGATTCAGGTCCTTGAAAGAGGGCCTAGCACAGGCCCAAAATAGGTTAGCAATCAGGTTGATCATTCACATCTTCAAAAATCATTAGCTGGCCAGTCAAGAGAGCAACCGAGTCGAAGTAAAACAACTCTGGAAGTAAACACCTGACTCGGCTCTGAACTCTCCCCTCCAAAAACGATGAAGCTTGACGTCTTCAAAACAACTTTGAGGTTGTTGAGAACTCAACGGAGTTCAAAGGGTGGGTGGGGGGAAACGAACACCAACCACTTTTGATATGGGTGGGGGAAAAAACCCGATTTAAGGACAGCATCTTGCGTTTTGTACTGTGTTTCCCCGAAAATAAGACCCTGTCTTATATTTTTTTGAACCCTGAAATAAGCGCTTGGCCTTA